CAGACGAAGGGACCCTACCAGACTCAGCACCTGGAGGAGAAGCAGTGGTCAGTGTGTACAGGCTCGACCCTGGCCGACGTGTAAACGTAGCCAGGTGGCGTCCCGTGCTAGCCTCCATGCAGTGGGTCACGCGCTGACGAGCAGGAGTGAACTGGTGGACACCCGCATCCTGTAGGTCAGCACCACTCACCAGGTTCGTCGAGAACGAGGGGAGGTAGAGACCAGACAGGGTGCGAGAGGGGGCCGCCTAACACGGAAGGACCGTGGAGAAGCGAGACAGGACAGGCCCCCCAGAGGGGTCAGCCAGGGACACCGCAACCGGCCGACTCAGCGGCGTGAGAGTGGTGCGGTCCCGAAAGAAGGAGCGAGACGCTCCAGAGTCAAGGGTGAAGGTGTGAGAGGCCGAAGCAGACACAGTACCTGAGAGGGCAGACTCACCAGTACCTGAGAGCACAGACGCACTGGCACCTAGAGCAGCAGCCTCACTAGCACCTGACGCAGCAGTACCAATGCCCGAGTCGGGCGGGAAACACCGGTAACAGTCATCCTCATCACTACCAGTCACAACATACATAGCAAAAAGAATAGCATCAAAGTCAAGATCATAAATGGCTACACCAGCCCTAGACAGCTCCCCCCAGCGGGGGATCTCAGCGGCCTCCGGAAACTGCTGACGCCAGGCGTCGGTCAGGCGGCCAAAGCAGCGGCGGGCTGTGTGGGTGCCTCCACACCTCTCCCCCGCACGGTCACCGGTGCGAAGAACGTAGGGGCAGGGACCAAACGCACCACCATGCTGACGCTGCAAGTACCACTCACGGAGCTGCTGAGGGGCGGGGACGGTGCGAGAGCGCTGCTGCTGCTGCTGCTGCTGGCGCTAGCCACCCCCAGAGCTGCTCCCCTGGGACGAGCCACTCCGACCCCCGCCGCCACCGCCACCCCCGCCTCCACCGCCACCCCCGTCTCCACCGCCACCGCCCCCACCGGTACCCTCGCCCCCGCCTCCTCCGCCACCGCCTTCGCCGCCACCTCCGCCTCCACCGCCTCCACCAGTACCTCCACTCCCGCCACCACCTCCACCGCCACCCCCACTCCCTCCACCACCCCCACCTCCTCCACCACTGCCCCCTCTAGCTCCACCCGCTCCCTTGCCCCCCTTGCCCTTGCCAGAGCGGCGTCTACCGCTGGGGGCAGACGCCGCACCGATCGACTCAAAACCAGCGAGGTCGGCCGCAGCGGCAGAGGCGACAGAGGGCAGCAGGGGGGAAGGAGAACACCCCTCAAAGATGGGGGTGCGAGGGTCACCCCGAGAGGCCCCTACAGCGACGATGCTCTTCTCAGCCGCTAGCAGGGACTCCTCAAGGAGGTCGACAGTGAGGGTGGTGGGACAGACAGAGAGAAACTGGTCCCTAACGACACGAAGGGACTCAGGGAGACGGGTGACGAGAAAGTAGAGAGTGATGTACATGGGAGGAGGGTTTGCGGCGCGGAACTCAGCAGGAAGGGCAGCGCGGTAGCGAGCGTCACTAGCGCGGAGGTGGGTAACGAGGTCAGCGACAGTGGGAAAGGCAGCGAGGTCAGGGAAGAGAAACGGTAGCATGAGGCGGCTCAGCGTAGCGGAGGAAGGGGAGGAGTAGCGTGCAACTACAGCGTCGTACAAGGCCTGAGCGGTCTTGCACTGACTAAAGTGGGCACGCTCGGAGGAAGGGAGGTGGCGACGCACAGCAAGACGTGCAGCAGCATCGCGTGTGGCCCACTTGGAGCGAACAGCAGGGTCAGCATCAGGAGGAGGGGCAGGGACAGCTCCAGAGACAAAGTCAAAGAGAGAAACCTCATCGATCGCATCGCACAGTAAGTACAGCTGCAGGTCCTCAATCCAGACTGGAAAGTCAATGGCGCGATCGTCAGCGTCAAAAGACAGGACACTGGGGGTGGCCATTGCAGCAGCTGATTGTCTCACCGGGCACGAAGAGTCGGGTAGCACAGCGGCGCAGCAACTCGGCAGAACAGCAGCTGCGCACGCCTCGGAGCAGCAGCAGCCCCGCAAGAGCAGGAGCTCGGCTCCTCAGGTTGCCCGGGCGGCTCGGGCGGCTCGGGTTGCTGGGGCGGCGCGGGCGGCTCGGGCGGCTCGGGCGGCTCGGGTTGCTGGGGCGGCGCGGGCGGCTCGGGCGGCTCGGGCGGCTCGGGCGGGTCTGCTGCACGGGCGGTTGGGGCGGCTCGGCTGTACGGGCGGCTCGTGCGGCGCGGGCGTCGCGACGGGCGGCTCGCTGGCGGCTCGCTGGCGGCTCGCTGGCGGCTGCACAGGCGGCACAGAGACGGCGGCGCGGGCGGCTCAGGGACGGCGGCCTGGGCGGTCGTGGGCGGCTCACGCTGGGCGGGTGCACGGGCGGCTCGGCGGGCGGCGTTCGGGCAGCTCACGGGCGGCTGCGACGGGCGGCTCGCGGGCGTCGGGCGCTAGGGCGCTGGGGCGACGACGGGCGGCGCTCAGGCGTCAGGGCGGGCGGCCGTCAGAGCGCTAGGGCGGGCGACGCTCGGGTGCTAGGGCGGGCGGCCGACAGGGCGCTAGGGCGGGCGGCCGTCAGGGCGCTAGGGCGAGCGGCGCACGGGCGCTAGGGCGGGCGGCCGTCAGGGCGCTAGGGCGGGCGGCGCTCGGGCGCTAGGGCGGGCGGCCGTCAGGGCGCTAGGGCGGGCGGCCGTCAGGGCGCTAGGGCGGGCGGCGTTCAGGCGCTAGAGCGGGCGGCCGTCAGGGCACTAGGGCGGGCGGCTGTCAGGGCGCAAGGGCGGCGGCGCTCGGGCGCTAGGGCGGGCGGCCGTCAGAGCACTAGGGCAGATCGAAAAAAAAAGAAGTACTAGGGCCCGGAGCGCGCTCCGGGCAGAAAAAAAAAGTTAAGAGGTAGCGGTGGTGGGCCCTACGAACAGTTCCCACAGGGGAACCTGCTCGATACCATGAGAAGAAGTGAACGAGGATGAAATGACTATGAACGAAGTGAGTACAAATAGGAAACCCTGATTGGGTTGTACCCCTTATGGGATACCCCACTATAGCCTACAGAAACACGTAAGCTATATGTTCTGACATGAGTGGCATTGGTGCCATGATGGCATGGTCGCCACTTGTCGCTGCAAACTCCACATGCCGACGGGCTTCGCAAGGCTTCAGCGGGCTTGGTGCGGCCATGTTCCTCTCCATGCCAAGCATTGATTGAGCGTCGCCATCACTGGCTGCGCTAGAGCATTGTCCCACGCTGTCCTTTTGTGTCGGTGTGCTTGATGAGATGACGATCGGATCCTTCGACTGTGCGGGTACATTTGCGGGCGTGTGTGGTGGTGCTGAAGCATTCACCGTGGATTGCTGTCGAGCGGAGTCGCGTTTCGCCGTGAATGTAGGAATTTCGCGTGCCGACTCTTCGATTTGGCGCACGAGACGGTCGAGTTGCTCCTGCGTTAGTGTCGCGAGAGTGAATTCGGCCATAGGGGGGAATGTCGGGCAAGCTCAGCGAGAGCCTCGGTCGTGGCCGTGCGTGCTTACGAGAGAGCACTTCGATCGGCGGTGCTTGTTTCGCTGAGAGACATCTACCCCCCCAAAAAATTGAAATAGTGGGGGAAGCGAAGGTGTGGGTGCGGTCCGAGAAGAGATCGTAGGCTCTGAATACCAAGGTTACGAGTGCAATTGAATGAGTGAGCGAGAATTGCACTATCGAAGCAAGAGTACAATGAGCGAATACATGAGCGAATAATATATAGCGGAACAACAGTGGTAACGATAATGTGTGAAAATGGGGTGCGCGACGGGCTTAGCGCCGAGGTTGGGAAAGTGTCGATGTGGAGATAGCGCGGGTTACCAACCGAACCGTGAGGTTGGGTCGCGTCGTGAACAGTGGCGGGAATAGTGTCGAGGCGAATATCGTGAGTGGCAACAAATTCTGTTGGATGCTGTTGGCGGGAACAATGGGGTGCGCGCTGATCAGGGATGCGAATTAAGGAAAAGGAAATTTCCTTACACCAGCACAAAAAAGATGTGCACCAACACATGGAATCAAACCCTGCTCTTCACTCATTAATTTTCTATGCGAAATAGTATTTTTCAGAAGAAACTGCCTTCTAATAGGTGCACGGATCTTTCCATATCATGATCGTACTATTTGCTGGCTCTCGTGGTGTGGGAGGCAGACCGCAACGCCAAGGTTTTGTCCCGATTTTGGGACGCAGGCGGCTCGACATTCCCAGCGGCCCCAAGCCATCGAACCAACCTAGTAGCAACAGCAGCAGACTCAAGCGGTGAGCTAAGCACCTCGGGAGTCGGATCGGGACCATCTTGCCTGTTAGTCCACTCCGGGCTTGTCGCGAGCAGCTGGCATGCCATGCCAAGCTGCGCGACTGGTGGTCAGCACATGGTGCGAGCTCGAGCATGAGCGGTGTGTTGCTGACTGTGCGGCAGGAGAAGTCCCAAGGTAAGCCCGCCAGCACACTTTGACCCACGGTGCCCCCCCCCTCCCTTTCTCTCTACGCTCCCAGATCACTCTATTATCACCCAGCAACTATTCCCTATGTTTCTTCATGAAGCATCAGAGCAAGCTTCCCGGTCAGATGTGACTGGTTCACTCCTGGTTTTCAGGTGAAGGCTGCATGACAGGGGAAGCAAGTGTAGGCGCGATCGTCTATAGTTCTCGGGCTTTGGGATGGAATTTACCCTTTTTCCCTCCCGTGATTGTTACGGCGAGTCGTTGAAAGTTACGCCTCGTGGAAGGCACAGAGCTCATCGCCTAGGGGCAAAGCCGCGCGGCTTATACTGGCTGATTCGCCTCAGCAAGCAGATTCGAAAGAGATTCAAAGCGTTGCGCGAAGGCAGGCGGCGATCGTCTGGGACGTGTCGCCGAGATTCGGAGTTGTCTCAAGAGGAGAGGCGGGCTCTTCTCACAGAATCGTCCTCGTCAGAATCGGCCTCCGCGTCAGCTCATAGCGGATCCGACGCCAACCACGCTCGTGAAGGTCGCTCGAGCAGCATGGCATTTGTATTTAAGGCCACCGGAAGGGATTCCGGCCGACCGCAGACATCCTCTTCCCCGTCTGCCGGCGCGAAGAAAGGCCTTTCCCCGCTCGGCAGCCCCGAGCAGCCCCCTGGCGGTGAAGCGCCTGTGTCTGCCCAGGCGACGAGTCGTCTCCGTTCCGCCGGCGCCACACCTACGCCCGCGTTAACCCCTCACATGAAGCGCACTCCGTCCTCGTTGTCGGGCTCGCCGTTAGCGCCCAAGTATGGCGAGGGAGCGTCATCTATTTTAACGGCCGCCGGTGGACGGGCCGGCAATCCGTCAAGCACAGCAGCACGCCGTGGAGGAGCCACTGGCGGCGGCGATGGCGGCATCCGCGGCTCCCCTTCGCCGTTCTCGCTGCGTCGACCCGCCCTGAGTGCAAGCGGTAGTGCGGGAGATAGTCCGGGAGGAGATGATGGTGTTCCCTCCGGTGCTGGTGCTGGTGCTGGTGATGGTGGTGGTGGTGGTGGTGGTGGCTCGGAGAGGGACGGAAGTGGGACGACGGACAGCAGTGTGGGGAGTGGGATACTCACCGCCGCCGATATTTTGGCATATCGCGCTACTAGTAGCTCAACGCGCAAAGGATCGCTGCACGCCGGTCAGAGTCGCTCCGCGCACCGCCAGCGCCACGAAGACCAAAGTGCGCATGGGCACTTGCCTCGACACCGCCAGCAGAAGTCGCTTTCATTCCGTCAGGGTTTCCGTCATGGGCCGGGGCTAGGCGGGAGTCCCAGCAGCAATCGCGTGGCGCAGCCTTCAAAAGAGGCAGCGGCCGCTAAGTCCGCCCACAGGCCCGCTGCCGTGGCGGCGACGACGGATGCCGCGTCGAGTGCTGGTTCGGTGGCTTCTGACTCATCCGACGTCAGCACCCGAGCCTCTGAGTCAGCCTCGGCCAGTCGTCGTGGCGGCCATGCGAGCCCGCGTGCGAAGCCGATGGACGCTCGTCACAACTCGTCGTCGTCGCTATGGAGGTCACCATCCGCGTCGTTCCCCTCTCCCCCTGCTGCATCTGCTGCCGCCGCGTCAGCAGGCGCGAAGTCAAGAGGCGAGGCGGGCGCGTCGCCGTTGTCAGCAAGAGCGCCACAGCAAGCGGCAGCCCGCGCCATGATGCTGCGACGGTCACGTAGCTTCTCCACGTTCTCGCGGCCCCCTGCTACCGGTGCGCCTGCTACGACCGGCGCGATTGCTGGAGCTAGTTCCGCGGACGGCAGCAACAGTGGCGCTCATTCCGCGTACAGCAGCGCTGTTTCCGCGTGCGCCTCTGGCGGTAAACGGAACGAGAGGGATGGCGGAGGCGGAAGCACGAGCACGAGCAACAAGCTGCTTCGAAGCCACAGCGTCGAGGGCAGCTGCGACGTGGGCGGCGAGAGTGCGGGCGATAGCAACGCGCTGTTTGGTCGGGCGGGAGGTGCGAGCAGCAAGAGCAGCAGAGTCAAGGGGGCCCGTTCGCGATACTGTCATCCTCGATACGCGCAACAGCACCATCTCGACGCGCCGTCGTCGGCTGGCAGTGCAGCCTCGGCGCGCCGAGCGGGAGCGGCGTGGAACGTGGTGGACGCGCAGATGGCGGATTGGGGCTTGCTGGCAGGAATTGGGGCCACGGGTGATGCTCCTCGCGCGGATTCTGGTCCTGCTGCTTCTGCTCGCACAGCTCGTAGCGCTCGCGCGGGTTCTGGAGCGAGTGAGCGCAGCGGCTCTACTCCTACTGGGAGCCGCCCCGCGCTCTCGAGGTCGCGATCGGGATTGAGTACGGTGGTGTTTCGCCGACTGTCGTTCTCGTGCGAGGGCGACGAGGCGACTGGCGAGGAGTGCGGGCTGGTCACCGAGAGTCACAGTGAGGAGGAGCAGGAAGGGGAGGGTACGGGAGGAGGCAGTGCGAGGACGACCGCACTTGCTGCTTCGGATTATGATGAGCTTTATGGGACGGGAAGGGTGAGTGGAAACGCCGCGCTTGCAGCACCACGCATAGCGTGCTGATTACTCGCGCACATACCGCCGTTCAGTCCTCTCCCCGTTCAGCCTCGTCCCCTTCCTTGCCTGAAGGCTTGTGCTGAGACGTGATGCAGGTGGCGCGAGGCGACATGGCGTCGCGCGGGCTGGACTGCCGGTGGTGGGACAAGATCCGAGACGAGGTGAGGCGGGATAGTGAGGACAGCGGGTCTGAAAGTTAAGAGCATTGTAGGGAACCTGCCGCGTTTAATTTCTATATATTTTTGTTAAACTACTGCGTAACGATTCGTCGTTCCCATGCGACCTGTGTGTTGCTCTGCAGCTCGACGCACTCCGCGCGTTGGTGGAGGAATCCGCGAGCACTGCGGCCCGCTCGCACCCAGCTGCCACCACTGCAGCTACTGCCGCTCCTCCACAAGCATCACCTGGGCAGGATCATCGTCAGTCCCCACGCTTACGTCGAGGCATGTTGAAACCAAGCACGAAGGGGGACGAGCAAGCACCACTGCTTGCAACCAACGCTGGCGGTGGTGCGGTGCTTGCGTGGCTGGGGCATGCGAGGCGCGAACTGGAGAGCATTGTTGGAGGGCGAGCGGGGGGACGTGGCGTGGAGTGCGGTGATGGAGAACATGCGCAGGTGTGTACACGCATTCAACTTGTAATCATTTAGCCAACGGAACTTACGTATGTATTTTCCTGATTTTTCACGAACAACAATTTTGAAGAATGAGTTTAGGCCCAATCTTTTCTCCCCTTCCTTGTATAATCGATAACAGCGTGATGGAATGCTACAGAAATTGAAGTCGCAGGAGCGTTGCGTCGCCGGCAGCAGCAGTGATACTTCAGACAACTCCTCTTGTACCAGTGCCAACAGCAGCTCCTTTGGTGGAACCACCGACACTGCCGTGACGGATAATGACGCTGACGCCCTTGGTGAAGCAGGGGAGCTTGGCGAATGTTCGGAGGCCGACATTTTTAGTCTCCTTGCGACACAGTCGAATCAGGTAGTCAAGAAGATTTTGCTGCCATAAATCAAAGGAATTGCAGCATGAGGTGCCGGTTGGCTGGTGGAGGTGTGAATGTTGATGAATGAGCTGTGCTTGACACACCTAGTGTGCCACGTCATGTGCACATGCAACCTCAACGTGAGGGAATGAAGGAGGGCTGAAGGGATATGGTTGGAGGAGGTAGGGTGGGGGAGGAGGGAGACAACGTGGGGTCACAACAAGAGGAGTTTCAGGTTTGGGGGGGAGGGGGGGGGATGGGTGTCTGCAAGGACGTGTTTTGAGGCATTTCGCAACACAAGAGCATCGCTGATTGGATTTGCAGCACTCACTACTGTGTACATTTTCCTGCCATGCTCTCCCCAATTCTGTGCTGGTTTCTGTCAACTCTTTAGCCTGGTCACGCCTATATTACTTCACACTGTGGCTCTGCAGAATCTGCCACGTCTGATTCCATCGCTCCTTATTTGTTAATCTTATCTTGTGACCCCTCCTTCTCCCTGTATCGCCTTTTTTTGCCCTTCCCTGTATCGCTCCTCATTCTATCGGCCCGTCTGTGACTCTTCATTCTATCACCGCCCATTTCAGTTCATCCGTCTGCCAGCCTTCTCCTGGGACGCCCTTGCTGAAGGGCCCTCTGGTGTCGTCCTGGGGAGACGGGCCATTCGCATTCAGCAGCAGCGCAGCCACACACACACGAATTGTCAGTATCTCTTGCCACAACAACCTGGGTGGCAGCATCAAGATGAGCAGCAGCAGCAGCAGCAGCAGTGGCGCCAGCAGAATAGGGGAATCACTATCCTGGAAAGGCGAGGAGTTGGTCACTGTTCGCTTGGAGGTTTGTTTTTCGTGGAGACAGATCCGGGTGAGGAGAGGCAGGCTGGCATTGAATTCGCGAGTACCTGCAGCAGCAGTGCCAGCAGCAGCAGCAGCAGCAGTGGTAGAAGCGAGGCTGGTAATGATGGCCCTTGGCTCTTGAGAATTCCTGAGGACTCTCTGCATAAGTCCCCTGCATGCTACCCAGCAGAGACAGCAACAGAGGCTGCAGCAGGCGAGACTAAGGAAGGAGCGGTGGAAGCAGCAGAAGGTGCAGCAGGCGGCAGTGAGTCAGTGGACGCCGCCAGCTTACAGCAGGCCACACTCCCTGCCAGGAGCATTACAGAAGACACTGCTCCACACGCCCAAGCACACCTCCCTGCGCCTGTGCCTCCTGCTCTGCGTACCCCAGCGGCACTGCCATCGGCAGGGGGGTGGCTGGGCCGGCCCAGAGGGAAGCCAAGCGGTGCTGGCTTGATTGGTGCGAGGGCAGCAGGAGGAGGAGGGAAAAGAGCCGGGGAGGTGGTTCTTTTAGGGAGGGGGAAAGAGGAGCACCTGGAGAACCATATGGTGGTGAGTGATTTGCAACTTCGCCTGTTCGTCCTTGGATTCCCAACGTTTCTCTTCCTTGCTGCTTGTGAGGAATTATCCTACCATGGTTCGGGTTTCACTTCGTTGCCTGCTCTATCCTCACCACCTACTCTCCTCCCACATTCCCTCTCCTCCTCTGTATCTCCATGTCCCGTCGCTCCCGTCAATTTGCTGCGACCAACAATGAGCAGAGGTTCTGGGCGCGGGAGAGGGGGTACCTACACATGCTGGGCCTGCCATCGTCGCACCAAGGCGCTGCCGTGGGGCATGCACAAGGCGCTGCCGTGGGGCATGCACAAGGCGCCGGTGTCACCAGTGGGGCCCACAAAGGCGCGGACGAGAGGCAAGCTGATGGCTCTTTTGAGACTCAATGCTTGGGATTGAGCACTCATGGCCGTTTGGCGCCTATGACTTGTGCTGTGGCGGGTGCTGCTTCTGATGTCGCTTCGCATGCTAGCCGCCCATTCCAGGGTGCTTCGATTCCCCCTCCCATGAGTGCATCTCAGCACTCCTGCTTATCCTCTACCGCCGTCCTCCCTCCTGCGCGTCCTCCGAACTATCTTCATCTTCAGCAGCAGCATCGCATGCCCCCCCGTGCCACCTCACGCCCTCCTGCCCTCTGCCCGTCTGTTGGCACCTCCCTGCTGCACCCAGCACTGCGCCACTCCAGGCTGGCAGGTGCAAGCCGTGTGCAGGGAGAGACTGCTGCTGCTGCTGCTGCTGCTGCTGCTGATGGTTCTGCTGCTGCTGCTGTGGGGAAGAATGCTGCTGACGGTCTTCCTTCAACAGCAAGAGCAGCAGCAGGCGAACTCCCTGCTATGCACACCACGGTGGCAACACAGGGGGATTGTGAGCATGTGGGGGAGAGGAGGGACGATGGGAGAGAAAATGAGAGGGGCATGGAGAGATCGTGGGGTAGAGAAAGGGAGTGGGACAGGGAGAGCGATATGCGGGACCTGAAGCTGTACGCTCCTCGTTTTAACCCTCTCTTTGAACCCAATGGTAACTCATGGGAGGGTGGTGAGAGCAGAAGTGAGCGCAGCACAAGTGATGGTGTCAGGGATGTGGGAGAGTGGCCAGAGCAACAACAGGGGCGAGAGCAGGCACAGTGGGAGGATCGAGCACAGCAGGGGCAGGGGCGTAGACGTTCAAGCAGAGGGATTGGAGCGCTTGGGAGGAAGAGGCATAGGGGGAGTGCAGGTCCGTGGAAAGGAAGCAGCACTGGCGGTGGGTACCGGAATGACAGTCCGTTTGGGGTTGCTCACTTGGGTTTGGTTGAAGGTGAAAGTTGGGACATGGGCAGCAGCAATAGAAGCAGCAGCAGCAGCAGCAGCTCGTGCAGCAGCAGGAGAACAAACGCCAGTAGCAGCCTGGGTGGTGGTGCATGTGCGAAGAGTGGTAAGTGGCGAGCAGTGTGCAGGGGACGACGAGGTGTTGTGGTGCGCGGGTTGATGCGGAGGCACAAGAAGGCAAGAGGCGTGCTGGTAGGAGGGAGAAGTGGCGCTGTGGAGGGTACAGAGGCCGAGGGTGGGCGTGCACAGGTGCATGATTGTGGAGGTGTTGTGAGCAGCTCATGTGCTGATGGTGATGCTGCTCGCACTTGTACTGTGGTGGGCACACAGGAGGGTGGGTTGGTGGAGGACACGGGGGGCGAGGAAGAGAGTGTGGATGCAGAACGCAGTGCAGGGGAGTGCACGAGGCAGGAGGGTGGGGAAGACGAGGTGCAGTTGGCAGCAGGTGACGGCAGTGGCGGCAGTGGCGGCAGTGGTGGCAGTGGCTGCAGTGCAGGTGTGGGTGATGGCGCTGTGGAGGACGTGCCTTGGCAGCAGCAGCAGGTGGAGGGGCAGCTTGGGGGTGAGGTGGAGGCGGCCCTTGCAGCACAGGGCAGTGCGGTGGAAGGCATGCACGGCAGTGATGGCAGCAGGCAGGGAGGCGGTGAGGAAGAGGCGCTGGGGTTGACGAGCAGGGGGAGTGAGGTGGTGGTGTTGGGGAGTGGAGAGGGAGGGGATGGTCGGGGTGGTGGAGGGAGCAGGGGGGACGGCGACATGTGGGGTGATACGATGCTTGGTAGCAGGGTGCAGCGAGGGATGGGTCGTGGGACCAGTGGTGGAGGTGGTGGGACTTTCTTGGGTGGAAATGATGCGAGTGGAATTGTGGTACGCCCGTCCCTCTACCACTCCTGGCGCTCCGCTCTGTGCGACCATACTGCTACTTGCAATGAGGAGCTCTCAGTGATGAGATGAGCTGCTACTTGTGATCAGCCAGTCACTAACGCTTCAATCCTCCTTCACACCCCCCCGTGCTTCTTTCAATTCTTCTTCCTTCCCATTCCGTATTTGCCCTTTCCTGTTTTGTCTCCAACTCAACCAACCTTCCCTCTCCCCCCTTTCTCCTCCCCCAACTGCGTGTCCAGCTGCTGGCGCATGTGAGGGTGCCCTTATCCGCGCTGCACGTGGTGCTGCTAGTGGCGCGCCCGTCTCTCCTGGCGCGCTGCCTCACTGCCTTCGCAGGGATCATCTGGGGGCCACGACCCTGGCGCTTGGGGGCACGCGAGGACGACAGGCGAGGGGAGAGGGGAAGGGGGGATGAGTGGGGGAGGGCGGATGGGCATGGTGACGGCATGGAGAGGGAGGGAGGGGGCCGCAGGTTTCGACTGCTCCTGTCAAACGGTATGATCCCCCCTCTCTTGCCCCTTGCCTACTTTCTAGCGTGTGCCTTCCATCCCTCTCTTGCACCTCTTTCTGAGAGTTCGTTCCTTCTCCCCATTGGGTGGGTGGGCCTTTTTCACATGGGGCACGTCGAAGCTGGCACTCAGTGCCAAATGAAACATGGCTCTCCTTGGTCCCTCATACCTGCGCTACACCCTCTCCCCTGATTCTGTTCCCAGGACCAAGCACGCCACCACGTACACAGGCGATTGAACAGGGGCGGATCGAGGGAGACGGTGAGGGTGAGATGGAGGGAGAGGCAGGGGGACACACGAGCGTGCAAGAGCACGAGCAGGTGCCTCTTGCAGCAACTCCTCCTCCCATCACACCCGTTGCTTCCTCACCCATGCCATGCCTCCCTGCACCTGCTGCCACCACACGCACACACCAACCCTGCACGGTTCTCGCCCCTTTGCCTGCAAACCCCGCACTGCCTGTGGGTGGACCTCCCGTGGCTGTTCCACACACCCCACCACCTTCACCACTTCCCATCTCCACGCCGCCATCATCACTTACACTCTTGACAGCAGAATCTGATGCAGCAGCACCATCTCGGCGACCGCACCACCACCCTGATCTCAAACCAGTCAACGAGCAGCAACCACACCGAATGCATTCCCAACGATTCCCTCACCGCTCTTCCTCTCTGCCATCGCACACATGCCATCCTCTCCCCCACCTGCCCATCGTGCTGCCAGCATCAGCATGCGTGCCGCACGTGGGCCTGGCGCAGCAGCTGAGCGTGGTGGCGTGGGAGCGCGTGCTGGCGGCCATGGCGGAGGGCAGGCAAGTGGATGCCGCCCTCTGGATGACCTGCCAGGCGCTCCTTGCTGCCACCCTCGCTGCTGGCTCCATGCTGGGCAGGTGCGCGTGAAGCAAGGCAAGAGGAAAGTGGGAGGGGGGGGAGAGAGTGGGAATGGGAAGGCGCATGTGGGCATGGCATGTGGGAAGGGAAGCTGCTGGTAGACGCACAGAGAGTAGAGGAGTGTGTATGTGGCATGCTGGTCCTTTCCATGATCTCTTCTTTGTTGGGGGGCACTGAAACTCATTTCCATTCCCCTACTGTTCTGTTGCCTCTCTCCGTCGCGCTTCTCTTTCTGTCGCCCGCCTCTCTTGGCAATTCCCTCACCACCAGGTTCTTCCCATCCCAATGGTAGCGCTCCAAGCTGTTGACGGAGAAGCACGTGGGGAGCACGTAGGAAGATTTGATTGATTGCCATCAGCAACGCTGGATGGTGCATGGAAGAATTTGGAATGCCAACTATATGTGGGCTGACGTTGTCGTTGTATGGCTTGGCGTCTACTATGCTGTTGCTTGTACACTGCTTGCTAGATCTTTGTTCTGGACATGTCTTCTGCATATTCGGCCTGCGCTTGTACAAATCTGATGAAGAAATATCGCAGTGAGGTGTTTCGCTATGTTTGCAAAACCAGTCTTGTTAGCAATGTGAACTTCTGACTAACTGTTGGAGAAGAGCTGAAACTACGGAGCTTGAACCAATTTTGCTTCACTGAGTAACTCGTGAAGATTGTGTCCTCCTTTCGTTTCTATGCAGGTAGTGATGTACTCAAATAGTGCACATGAGAGATGGTTCCAATAGGTTCAAGACGGAATATAAATCCTGTGTGTGAGCACCTGTGTGTAGTATCCCCCGCATGATCAGCATCAACATAGCCAAAAAGTTTTAGCTTAGCTTGCGGCTTCTTGTGGTAGGTTAGTCCGACAATCGAAGTCGATTTGAAGCAGGATATTGCACCTTCTACTTACCTTAGGTTCTCCCCTTCATATCGCTTCACAAACTGAGCGAGCTGGCTAGCATAATAGGAGAGATTGGGACGGCAGGTAACTGTGGCGAACAGAGAATAGCCCAATAGCTGCTGATAGCGAGAGACCTCGTCAGAAGAAATCGATCCACCGTTATCCCCCTAGTTAGAACTGTTACGATAAGGAATAGTTGAATAAACATTCCTAAGTAACGAATCCTTAACGCGAAGATGACTGCAGTGAGGATGAAAGACCAAGCGATAAGACAGTTATCGAGACAGTTACAAGCAGGAAGAATTCGAAGTGCAAAGCGCGGGAAAAGTTCAAACCGTTACCGGACCGCGTACGGTTACCGAACCGCATGGTTGCAATCCTGCATCTAGATTAGCCCTAAGGGGAATGTACCCCTTTAGAGTACATGGCTAGCTAGGACCTTTCGTATTCCACTGTATTCCTATATAAACCCCTGTACCGCATTGTATTAGACACTTCTAACGAGATTCAAATCTCCTTCTTCTGACAGAGTCTGTACCCGACATTACCTAGCAATCTTCCGATGCTACACTCCATGGGATCAACCTGAGACAATCCTATAAAACGGTTCAGATTGTATCAAGAACGATACGAAGAAGCCGCGGTAGTCGTCGGTATGTGAAATCTCTTGAAGAGGTTCTTGGCAATTGACAGGTGGATAGCTGTTCAAGTCACAGTGACAATAAGAACAAAATAGTGGGTACAGTTGTCACAATCGTAAGCATAAGATCAGTTTGCAGCTCCCCGTCAAAGTAGCTCAGAACAGTAGCCAGCATGCCAATATACAATATGTGTTCTCGCGGTCAAGGCGGTACATGCCTTGATCATGAGGCAACTGATGAAAGCCGATTCATATGAGGCATTTTTGAATTGGCTGTTGCCACAAAGGCGGAACCTAATTTATCTCGCACATAAACGTGTTGAGCTTACGAACGTTTCAAAGGGTCGATCATGGTACCACGTGGTTTCTCGACAAGTTAATGCGCAGACGAGTGCATAATGAAATGCATTTGCCACATCATCCTGACGAAACATGCATCCAAGTGCCGCGAGCGCGAGTAGAATTCGATGTAAAGTATGGCGACAAACGGTAGTGAAAGTTTGTGTGTGTGTGTGTGTGTATGTGTGTGTGTGTGTATGTGTGTGTGTGTGTATGTGTGTGTGTGTGTGTATGTGTGTGTGTGTGTGCGTGTGAATGTTATTCTGCTTGAGCAGATATATGAAGTGACTCCTCTGCTCAAAGCTTTCCGATGAACCAAAGATCGCTTCAATCGAAGCACGAACGAAAAGGTTACGAACGGTTGAAGTTCGTATGCTTTTGGTATTTGGTTGCGACGACTAAGGGAATTTGTGGGGTGACTCTATATGGGGTATAGACTATTGGGGGTTGGGGATATTTGTCATCTTTACTGTAGTTGTTGCCAAGTGGTTGGGAGAAGCCAAACCAGGTTGGCAAGTGTGGCCAAGTTGGGTGAGGTGGATGGCATGGGTTGGGAAAGTGATGTTACGATATGAAATCCTTTGAGAAGGCATTCCTGTATGCTCCAGGAGCCGACTCTACCGAGTACAAAGTCAAGGAGTCAGAAGAGTCGAAGATACGCTGGTAACCGTCTGACCAAGACCGATGCGAGCAGAAACATTTGATCTGAAAAGAGCGGGAACATGTTTGAAACGGGTTTCCGCGCTGCACGGTTTGAACTTCGCTGTAATAAGGGAATGTGCCCCTCAGAGTACATGGCTAGTATAGGTCGTTTCGTATTACTTTGCATTTCCTATATAAACTCGATGTATGCATGCTATTATCAATCTCAATCGTTTACATTCACTCTGACCTGAGGTCAACACTTCCGCTGCAACACTACTTTGCAATCAACCCTGAGCGATCCTTCGCCAAGTCCCACATGGGATTGTAAAGTGGTATGAGAGCTACTCAGGGATTCTTCGCAACTTCACTTCCGTGAAATTCGCCGAATCAAGATCTGGTGAGCAGCACACGCTCCAAGACCAAGATGGCCGGAGGATCCGGAGGCCAAGCGAATCTAACAGCCGAAGGGCAAACCAACCTAGCTGCGACAAATGAGGCGACAATTACGATCAGCACTGCCGCACTCGAGCAGTTATTTTCGCGACTCTAAACTATCGAGAAAGACCTCCAAGAACTGCGCAAAGGCGATGCAGGAACCTCCTCTCAATCAGTTAAACCTGCACAACAGGCTGCGAAAAGCCGCGATACCGCTGCGCACACCTTCTCCCTCGACACAGACAAATCAACAACAACTGCCCCTCGTCCAAGTGATGAAGCTATCAATTTTGCGCAAGCACGTTTTTTCAGTGTTTCAAAAATCAAGACTGCTGCCGCATTTGATGGCAGGACTTCGATACATGGAGTTTCGAGCTTGAGCTCCTTCTACAAACAGCGCAGATCTACCACTACTTCGACGGCTCCTACGCTAAACCGGTGGAAGACACCAAAGACGCCAGGGCTCAGTACTACAGCGAGTCCCTCATGGCGGTGTGCTGCTATGCAATATGACGCCTGCAGAACAACTGAGCATTCGCTTCTACAAAGAGAGCGCCGCTCCAGCCCTAGAAGCCCGGAAGCACCTCGTTGAGGTATATCAGCCGAAGGATTCAGTCGCCGCTAGCAGGCTTCTGCAGCAACTCATGGAGACCAAGATGGGGCATGGGGAGAAAGCAAACTCATATATCAACCGCTGTTAGAACATTTGTGACCAAATCACGAAACATGGAAGCGCCATTTCTGAGGAGATCTTCTTCAACATCGTCCTCCAGGGACTCGGGCAAGAGTGGAAGCCCTGCAAAGCGCTGCCCCAACAACGAGGAATTATCTATGAAGCCGCACTATGCGCCACCCTGCTGACTAAACAGCACGACATGGATTCGAGCAGGACAAGCTCCGCACCACGTCGAGAGTGCCTCGCCTTCTACACAAACAACCGTGAAGAGCGACGACAGCCACGACGCCATTATTGCAAAATCATCAAAGTCTTCGGACACTCAACAGACCGATGCAAGTCCCGGTCTAACTATCGCCACCCAAACTCCTCTCACCATAATAATTGGGTTGGCCGACAAGACGCTCGTCATTTTCAGCCTTAGCAACAAGCTTCACGCCCTCCTGCACAAAACCAATAGCAACAGCAGAAAAAGGGACCTCAAGCGGGAGCTCCCAGAAACGTGATCGCTAACATGGCGACAATACGTCGCCCACGCGCTGCTAAGCCAGATGAGGAAGAAGAACCTCGCGGCGGACTCAGTCAACCTGAAGAAGGGTGTAACAATCCCCTCACAAAGGATCACTATTATCAGTATAATGAGGACGAGCAAGATTGGCATCAACCAATCATGAGCATCAGCGATTTGTGCCTGTGGGATGGAAGGAGGATGAAGATCCATCGTTCCACAGAAGGTACAAGACAACCCTGGTAACTATGTGACTCGCGCTAATTTTGTGCAACAACTACAAAAACCAACAAACCTGGTACCTGGACAGCTGCTGAGGCCAGCACTGTTATAGACACAGTAGGCTCCAATGTGCCTAAAACAAAAGATAGAGCGCACAGTCGGATTTCTGCACAGCGGCTTTAAACGTTCATAGCGTTCAGGTCACTGCTTGAAATGACCGGATTCAACTTGGATCTGGACCGTCTCACTGTCGCCTACAATAGGCAATTTAGATCGCACGATCTTACCAAGCATTGACGACACAACGTCAGTTTGAACGAACGGCACTATGGCAGCCACTATAGTCTTAGAACACACAATAGGAAGAGTTACGAGTTGGGAATGACTCCCAGCTCCTAAAAACCTCAAAAGCCGAGGTATAGTGATGTGGAGTAGTGCCACACTGTCCCCAACCAGAAAGGGTCTCGAAACTACCCTTCACTAGGGCCTACACCAAGCGAAATGTTGCACTACACAAAGTAATGTAACTATCTTCAATATCTTGAGGTGTACCCTTTTGGCGAGCTTTAAAATCACTTGAGGCTTGACACCAAGGCTCGGTGCGGAGATAACTGCAGCAACGGGAGCTAGGCTACGGGCTAGGCACGTGT